ATATATATATATATTCATTCTCTTTCTTTTTGTCAGGAATTTCCCCAGTGTTATTTCTTATTGTCAACTATATGTATCTCTTTCGTTCTCTGTCTTTGTATGACGAATTTCCCCAGCGTTAGTTCTTTTCTATCAGGAATTTCCCCAGTGTTAGTTCTTGGTTTCTTTATTTTCCGTGATCGCTTACATGTATCCCCAGTTTCCCAGTCTAGTACATCAACTCTAGAATATTCCGCTTTTCGTGTAAACTCTCATATAAATATACGCTATTTTTGTGCAAAGGATATAATGTTCAGTTTCTAAATAAACATTTAAAATCATATCAAATTGACACCAAACCGTTATAACTATAATGACTAGAGCCACATAACAACTGGTGACAGCGGTGCTTGTTGCGAACATTATATCATCACAACAAGACGAACTCATATTAGTGGCTATTACAAGTAGGTGAGACTTCACGTATTTAAGCGGTAATTATGAGCAATATAGCAGATAGAACACGATCACGCACAATCAATCCCAGTTTATTGTCAATCAATAGTATGATTACAGATCCCAATGAAGACAATGAATACAGTAATGGTAATGTTAATAATCCACAATTTCAAGGTTATTCAGGCGGGAGTGATATCGGACAGATGGGTGACGAAGAATCCACATCGACCTTCGTTAAGGTAATAACATCAACCACACAGGAGCATAGTCTATCACTACAGCAACAACAACCAAGTATTATTGATGATAACCAAGCAGCAACGTCATTACCCAATATCTCACTCAATGTAACAACACAAGTACATATTCAACATTTATTGGACAGTATTGTAGATTTTAGTGGCAGAAATGAAGATGTTCGAACATGGATACAACGTATTGAATTATTATTTGATTTAGCTGATTATACGAAATTCAAATGGATAAAATTGACAGCATTACATTTAACAGATTATGCATTATGTTGGTACAATGCCAATAAAAGTCAATTTCATGATTGGGATGTATTTTGCCAAATGCTCATAAAACAATATTCAGCAAACCCGATACCAGCTACAACAGCAAGTCAAACGATTCAAGTGGACGATAATAATCTAACTATACCACGACAAAATGATTCACTAGTGACTGAAATATCAACTATACGACAAAACCACTCATCAACCAATCTTTCGAATAAAGAATTAGCATTCACAGATCCTCTCAATAAACCCTCATCATCAACAAAGTTTTCAAATTCATCATCCACGCAAGATTTTTTTTACCACAATGGTTGAACATAAGATGAAACAATTGCCGACGTTTAGTGGTAAAGATAGTGAAAAGGTTCAAGATTGGTTAGAAAACATTAAACAAATTGGTAAAATGGTTAATTGGACTGCTGAACAGTTA